GTCGCAGTGGTGTTCGGGAGGCGCTGGAACTGATGGGAGATGCGTCTGCTTTTAGCTTGTTGGAACCGGCGGCATTCTTGAATGATGGCATCAACAGACGACACATTGTTGAATACCAACAAGTTGAACGCATCGTCGGCGATACCCTTTAGGATATGGGCAACTTTTTCAGGTTCAGACATATTTTCGTCAGCTTGGCGGCATAGTGAAAGGACAGCCTGAATATAACCGATGTAGGGCTCCGTGGAAGATTGTGCGCGAGTCGACAACTCATTTTTCGCAGCTTCACGACGACCAGAGATGTTGCCAAAAAGCTCACGGATCTTTGCCTTGAAGCTGTCCCAGCTTGTTATGTCATGCTCGTGGTTATCAAACCAAACACGAGGTGTTCCGTCGAGATAAAAGATGACGTTTGCCAGCATAAGAGTGGGATCCCACCTGTAAGTGGCGCTGACGCGTTCGTAGAGGCGTAGCCACTGGTCGACGTCGGAACCCTCGCTGCCCGAGAACACGCCGGGGTCTTTGAGCGCGGGAAGCGTCACGAATGTTGTTGCGGGCGCTGGGTTGACAGGTCGGGCAGAAGGGGGAGCGACCGGAGAGGATGTAGCCGAGTCTTGGGTGGTCATGTTGTAAGCCGCGAGTGAGCGTCCGCTTCGGAGTTCCGTGGCGAGGACGGGGATCGCACAACTCCACCAAATATGTTACGTGAAGGAGACTGACTCAGAGGGGTAGTCACCGATGTATTTACAGACGGTTAGGCGAGCAGCGCCAGCCACACAGATTAGCTCGTGCCAGTCTATCTGCTTCGTCTTCTTCAGCTCCATGCACTGGCACGTAGCAATATAAACGCAGCACCACAATACATGTACGATCCGGTACCGGGCGAAAGTGGTCAACATCACTCCCGCTCTTCCATTACAGACGGTCTGGGGAGGAGGGGATAGTCGTGTTAGGACATCAGAATGGCAGAAATAGGCGAAAAAGCCCGCGAAATGGGGGCGGGTTAGCCTCCATTCCCACACCCTTTAATTGTTGATACTTGGCTTATTGGTGATAGTGGTGGCACATGTGTGAGCTAACCATTGATTAACCAACGTAAAGATGAAGTTAAGTGTCTGAATATTGCATAGGCATGCGCAGAAAAGTTTTTGTGCCTTTTTTCACGAAGTGACTTCAATTAAGGAACAAAATAAGTGCCATGTCGTAGCTGTCTCTGCACATAGGAAACCTCTACAATGCAACACAGAGAATCAGGGAATGGGAATGAAAGATATACGAAGAAGAGTGTAAAAGGCACATAAAGAAAGCATTCAATCTGACCCCCACATGCACGTAATAACACTCGTTCGCAGTCGACCGGTAATACCGCCATGAAAGCCAGGGATGCAGTGATGTACACTATTTGACACGGTCAAAAGGAAGAACAGCGAGATCTTTCAAACTAGTGTAGTAAGTGGTCGACACTCACGACGCGCTGTATCGTACATGAGAAAAGGAGCGCAGAGGCACACGTAGGACACACACTTGTGCCTCCGTGTGGTGTGTGTCCGACCTGTGCCTCTGTGTGTCTTTTTTCACGTCGCGAACGTCAACCATATACAACCAGCTAGCCCTTATGCTAGCTCTTTTCACGTAGTAAGTCCAGTTGGCCCCGTTCACAGCCGCGCTCTGGAAAGCTACTTCAAAGGTGCGATGTTGTCGTCTGAGAAGAGGGCCGAAGCGCATAATCCTTGGAATTCCGAATTCGTCGGCATGGATCTCATGAGATAACACAGGACCACAGCTAGTGCAGCCAATATGACGTCCTTCGATTGATTAGCCGGATCCATTGTGTACACAGGAGACGGACACGCAGCTATCCCGCTATCGACAGAGGCATCCGTCGGGTCTGTTGTGTGACTGGAGGTGGGATGGTGGCTGACACACAAGTCTGGTTACCACTGGTAAGCGCGTCTCAAAAGGAAACGCCCTTCATGATCGCCCCACTACCGTGCTTGTTAGTGTTCATAAGGGACCTGGCTTGCTCCATAGCTTAGCGGCAGGTCATGGTGCCACCGGATGAGATCTAGATGATCGCGGCCTTGCGCTGGAGCTGTCAGGAAAGGCAGTGTAGCTCTGTTGCAGAATGCTTGCCGCTACAGTTGATGCAGCGTGGCCGTTCAGCTGCACAAGTTACTGACGTGTGCTTGACGCCTCATTGCAGGCACCATTCGTCTCACGAGCAGGTGGCTCTGCATGCTCGCAGCAGCCGTATCTGGAACACTGTTGGGGCCGGGGCTGGCGTGGATGGAGAGGGCGCCTTTGCTTATACAGCAGGATATCTGGGGGGGGCAGTGCTCCCCGCAAAGGTGAGGGAGAGGCAGTTGCTTCTGCGTACACCAGCCACGAGTGACACCAATGAGGCTATGTTGGTGGCTAGGTCCTCGAAGGGTATGGCTGGATTCACTTCGAAGATCATGCTGACACATGTGCTGAGATTCAGTTGTTTAGATCAGACCTTGATCTCGCAGATCATCCCGACCTGGAGCAGGGCGGTTGGATCGGCGGTGGTCCGGGTGTCAACTGCAATCAAGTTGCGTTTGAAGTTCTTGTTCGTGGCAGGGAATCCCGAGAGGAAGGTGGCGATCGCGTCCCTTGACGCAGCCATGAAGTTGGCCTTCTTCCCGACAAGTCGATGGATGATCGTCGTTGCATGGTCACTCGGAATTAAACCGTTAACGACTTGGAGATCTTGATGACCCGACTGAGGGCACATGGAGGTGCTTGGAAGCATGCGGACACCCGGAAAGGGCGCCATTCGCTCAGCGGCCGATGGTGTTAGGAGAGGAGAGATGGTGTTGCTGCAAGGGAGTTGTCCTTTGCAGGAAGCCATGACCGTGGCTTGAAAGGAGGAAGATCCCGTTTTCACCCTCTTTTCGCTTGGAGCCTGGAAGAGGGTGGCAATGTCATGGCTGCCGTTCTCTTGAGGCTGCGGCTTGTTTTTGAGCGCACAGGCTTCCGTGGTTCCTGCTGCTGTTGTTGCATGGACACCAATGTCGATGCAGAGGTTGCCTGGGTGGCTTCTTGTTGCTTTGCCTTCTTGCGACGGTTTCTCTAAGGGAGCGCGAAGCGATGATCAGCGAAAGGACAGGGGTACCGTAAACAAACGTCCTGCCTGCTTGGAATCTCACTCGCCCTGTGCCTTTTAGGGGCGAAGCTCCTTAAGGCGTGGGTCTGTTCATCCTCGGCATATGTATGTAGCCACCTCTAGTTTGTAATAGAATCCGTTCGCTGTTGGCGCGCACTCGGAGTTGCCCGATGAATAAGGCCGCAGAGCGGCGAGCGCGCAAGGCGGCGGCAGCGCAAGCTCGCAGACAAAATCCCGATGTGAGAGCACGTGAGCCAGAAGCGCTCCGTGAAGTTGCGCGCCGCCGCCGCCAAGATCCCAGCGTTCAAGAACGAGAAGCTCAGGCATCACGGCAATGGCGCGAGGACCCTGTCGTACGCAAAGTGGCACGGCTGCGGCGCGAAGAGGATCTCCAAAACGTCAGAGAACGGGAAGTGGCGAGAAAGCGCGCGTATCAGCAGGCAGACCCCAATGCAGTGAGAGCTAGTGAGGCGTCTGCAAAACGCATCAGGCGAGCTCAGCCCCAAGGTGCCGACGCACGGTTTAAGCAAGACTTTCTAGACGTTGCGTTTGAACACAGTTGCAGTGTGTGCGACAGATTGTGGTTCTCAAACAGTCTGGTCACAATATCTTTCATCAAGAACGACCAGGCTCACGCCAATGCCATCGCCATGCTACAGCGCAAGTATATATACACATACAGTGTTTCTCACGTGTTTCTTGATGATGTAGTGGGCGAACTTTCACTGAAGAGTCATGGTTTACCGATGATTTTCCCTCAGGAGCTTCGCCCACTTATCATCATTCACCTCGTGGATATGCTGTGATTTTTTTCAATTTTCTGCCATGTCATCGTGTGCCTTAGCAGATGTTAGTTGGTGTTTGCCGCGTATCTTGTGACCATGTTGCGTGCCCTGTCTATTATACATTAATACCTACCTTCCAGCTCAGCTCCCTTTCATTCTGAAGTGATCTAGTCAGATTCCTCAGTCTTTTCAGATTGTTTGGTGACAAGAGCCTCGTTTTCAAGATTTCTCGAGTGTCTCTTATCCTGCAATGTGAACAATCATAGTGTCTCTTATTCTGCAATGTGAACAATCATATTCGAAGCACAAAAAACCACATAACAGAGAAACAAAAAGACAGGACCATGCGCTACTAGCAACCAAAGTTTAATTGAGAGTGTAGGAAGATGTATGTATATGCACGGTCCAAAAAATAAAAAAACCAAGCAACCACAGAATGAGTGTGCATACGACAGAAAAAAAAATACCATGCACATTTAGGTTATCAGATCAAGTGACCTCAAGATATTCCACATCATGTTTAGGTAGGCCCACCAAGGGAGAGCTGATGCACAAAACACCTGCTTTTGCAATATGGCCTGCTTCAACAATTTTTTAAGTCCTCTGATCTCGTTGGGAGAACAAAATACATGTTTCGTTAAACAAAGGCTGGCACCCACATGTCTGATGATGAGCAGATAAATGCAATAGATTGTCTATCCTCAAAGATGTTTTTTGCTGCTGTCTTCTTCATTTCATTGTGTCATGATTTTTTTTTTTCGTTTCGAGCTTTCTTCAAATATGAATTTGCTCTAATTGTGTCTGTTGGTAGCGATTTGAACAAGTTCCATTGAACAACCATCCTCCAATCCAAATGTTCGTACCAAGAGGACATTGGTGAACCATGCAATTCTGAACTCTTCACTAAGAGGAACTTTCCTCTGACCAATTGCGTTCTTTGCTGCCATCGACTACAGCCTAACATAACACTGTAAAGCTGATTCAATGAGTGAAGAGGTGATTTCTTTAACATATTATTGTATGCAGTGCACACCACCTTTCTCCTTCGATTTCTGATGTGTCAGGTGTAAAACTCTGTGTTGTCACAGATCTCGGTTTGTGTGTGGCACCTGGAGCAAAAATGGCAAGAGGCTCATCTTGGCGACGGAATCGACTCTCATGGTGAGTACCAGTCTTGCTTAAGCCACATGATGATCACGACAATTATATGTGCATTAATATGTGCATTTCTTCATGCAGTATAATACTTGTGGATTGAATTTATTGGCAAATGGCTACCCTGTGTTATGGGCTCGGTTTTGACAAATTTTGATGGCAGCAGTATACAAACGAAATTTCTGTTGGCCGAGTCTTTGGTGAACACTAAAAACAACTGGTATTTGTCGAACCTAGCATGACGTCCATCACTGGTCAACCCCTCAATGTACATGGGAACCTACCTATTGATTTCACCAGTAAGCTGAAGTTTACTCGTACTTCAACCAATGAAGTTTCACAATTCTTTCGCACTCAGATAATGCTTGTTCATTTAAGCTTTCATCAGTGAGAACATGAGTGCTTGTTGCACATGCATGGATGTATGCTTATGTAGTACTTACCAGCTACTAGGCACAAAGAAATCCAAGTATTTTGTATATTGATATCAAGTGTCACTACAAGGAAAAACAAGGGAAGCGTGGGTAGAGAAGGAAGACGACGTTGCTTCAACGGTGATCGCAGTCTCAGTGCCCATTGAAAACCCCCTTAAGTTACCTCGTCATTCGTAACAGTTTAGTGGAAGGTGCTGGCTAGGACAAACCAAACCACGGGAGCTTCACTACCAGGACTTTGTCAAAGCCGCCGCCTTGTTGGGCTCCCGCCTTCGCCGATCATAATGGCTCAAGACCAGCCATCCAATGCTTCGAGGCCAACTGCGATGGGTTCCATGCCATACTACAGAATGCCACCAAACTTCGGCGGGATCTCAAGAGAAGACGTCGACATATGGCTCAAGAGCTATAAGCGGGTGAGCAGAAGCAATGGCTGTGACTCTAGCGAACAGCTCAATCATGTTGTATTCTCGTTAACTGACACCGCCGTCATGTGGTACGAGAACCACGAGGACATGTTCACAACTTGGGAACGTTTTGTTTCCAAGTTGTGAACATGTTCCCAAGTGCCGAAGTGCTTCGATAATTCTGGCGCAAAGAAGAAACGTGCGGAGCAGACATTGTCTCAGAGGGCACAGCTTCCAGGAGAAACATGTACGACGTACATCGAAGAAATCTTGGAGCTGTGTAAGATCAAGAATGCAAGGATGTCTGGAGAAAACTAGATTGGACACGGAGCGTTAAGTTGGAAGCGATCATCGAAGTAATAGCGCTGTCGGAGCAAGTGGCAGACTGATGTTGAGCGTCGGGGTCAGAAGGGGCGGCCATCGCGAAAACATCTACCGCATTGTCTTCTAAGGTGCAGAGCAACGCCAAAGAGATCCCTTGTGGCAAAACTTGAGGTGTCAAGCTAAAGTTGACAACTGGGAGGCACGTAGAATTTCCTGCGACGGACAGAATGGTGTGCGGTAATCTAATGCCACGGCTTATGACAACATCGGTGATAGGGGTCAGAACATAGTCACCGTCGGAAACTGGTGGTATTGAGACGAGCTCTATGTAGGTCAGTGTCTGTGGAGGGAGGCGCGTGTGTCCCGTTGTGCAGAGGCGACTCGCCGTTGTGTAAGAGGTTCTGTTGCGGGCAAGTGTAGATGGAGCGAACTGGTCGAACAGTCTATGAGGGCAGAATGCGCGGACAGGAAGTCGAGACCTAAGATTACGTCCTGGGGGCATTTATCAAGGACAGTGAAGAGAACAACTGTGTGTCGATCCGCAATGCTCACACGAGCGGAGCACATTCCAACGATAGATGCTATTCCACCATCCGCAACACGGACGAACTGAGTGGTCGCAGGTGTGAGAACCTTCTTGAGCTTGCGGCGAAAATTACTCGTCATCACGGAAAGTTGGGCGCCGGTGTCGACAAGAGCAGTGACATGTACGCTGTCTACTTGTACGTCTATGAGGTTCCGTTTTGTCGGTATCGTCAAAAAAGGATTTTCGGTCAGTCCGAGCGATGCAGCGCCACCTCCGGGGGCTGCAACGCTTAGTTTTCCGTCGGAGGACCTCGTGGGAAGGCGGGGGAAGATGGTCGGCGGGGCTGTGGAGAACGAGACTGGCGACGCTGGGGGGGATGGAGAGCGGGAGTAGCGGTGTTCAGAAGCAGGTTCCTGGGCAAAATGGTCGCGGCTGGTCTCGTGGCAATGAACAGGACGTGCATAGAAGGGGCGAGAGGACGGTTGTGCAGGAGGACCCCAGCGACTTCTGCAATGGCGAGAAATGTGCCCGATTCTGTGACACGAGAAGCATATCGGCTTGTCATCGTGTGTTTGCCATGCGGACGGATTACGGAATGTTGAGGGAAAGCCGGTCGGGAAGGGACGTGCAGGCGTGTATCGGGGCTGGTAGTCGGTGCGGGGAGGCGGTGAGATAGAGTGAATTCCCAAGCTGGCGATTTTCTGCCGGACGACTGCTTGAATGAGAGGCAACGTAATTGGCGAAGAGGGGTCAGGGGACGTTGGTCCCACCTTAGCTGGAGCAGCCGCTTCAAGCTCCCGCCTGACGATTCGCGTCAAGTTTTCACAGGTGTCTGGTAGATGATATGTGTCGGGACACGAGGACGTCGCAGTGGTGTTCGGGAGGCGCTGGAACTGATGGGAGATGCGTCTGCTTTTAGCTTGTTGGAACCGGCGGCATTCTTGAATGATCGCATCAACAGATGACACATTGTTGAATACCAACAAGTTGAACGACAAGTTGAATGCATCGTCGGCGATACCCTTTAGGATATGGGCAACTTTAGACATATTTTCGTCAGCTTGGCGGCATAGTGAAAGGATAACCTGGATATAACCGATGTAGGGCTCCGTGGAAGATTGTGCGCGAGTCAACAACTCATTTTTCGCAGCTTCACAATGACCAGAGGTGTTGCCAAAAAGCTCACGAATCTTTGCCTTGAAGCTGTCCCAGCTTGTTATGTCATGCTCGTGGTTATCAAACCAAACACGAGGGGTTCCGTCGAGATAAAAGATGACGTTTGCGAGCATAAGAGTGGGATCCCACCTGTAAGTGGCGCTGACGCGTTCGTAGAGGCGTAGCTACTGGTCGACGTCGGAACCCTCGCTGCCCGAGAACACGCCGGGGTCTTTTAGCGCGGGAAGCGTCACGAAAGTTGTTGCGGGCCCTGGGTTGACAGGCTGGGCAGAAGGGGGAGCGACCGGAGAGGATGTAGCCGAGTCTTGAGTGGTCATGTTGTTAGCCGCGAGGTAGCGTCCGCTTCGGAGTTCCGTGGCGAGGACGGGGATCGCACAACTCCACCAAATATGTTACGGGAGGAGACTGACTCAGAAGGGTAGTCACCGATCACCGATGTATTTACAGCCGGTTAGGCGAGCAGCACCAGCCACCCAGATTAGCTCGTGCCAGTCTATCTGCTTCGTCTTCTTCAGCTCCCTGCACTGGCATGTAGCAATATTAGGGCTTTGGAGCCGTAACTTGGACTCACAACTTTCCAAAATTTTTGCTATTGGTTCTTAACATGCTAGAGATATCATAGTTATAAAATTCGTCTTTTGCTGTATCGATTTCCCTTCTACATACCTGCGCGTGCTCACGGTAACTCTTTCTGTCGTCCTCAGATACTGTCAATTTCGCTCGCGAGTATAATTGTTTCTTTTTGTTTATGCAGTGTCTTACTTGAGTGCTTTGTTTGGACACAGCTATGGTGACTTTGGGAATATATTTTTCTCTTAGTGAGATTAGTTTATTGTGAATAAGTGTCCAATTTTTGTTTGCATCTCGGTCAATAAAAGAGTTTAAAATATCAGTAGGAAAGGAAGAGAGTTGGCTTGATATCGTGGTAATATTTGCTCGCCCATAGTTCAAGATGGTTCTCTTTGTATCACATGTTTTTTCTATAGCTATTTCAAATTCGAAGTGGAACATTTTGTGATCGCTGACACCTTCTAATACATTAACACACATACTGCTCGAATCAGTAGTGAGCACGAGGTCTATAATCGATTCGCCGCGTGTGGGCACAAAAACCAGTTGGCTTAAGCCAAACCAAAGAAAGCGCATCAAAAAAATTCTCACATTCTCATTTCTTTTCGTGCCATCGAGAGCCATGCATTCCTGCCAGTCCAATTTCGGGGTAATTGAAATCACCCGCCAAAAGAATTGGTGACAATGGGACTCTGCACTCTTTTAATGGACTCGTTTAGGTATTTTGGGAAATCATCTGTTGAATCTGGCGTGCGATAGCAGAACCCAATAGTACAAGTTACAGCTGCAGAGGAGCGGAGCACAACCAGCAAGGTTTTGAGGCACGCGTCAGTTACGATGACACATGTGTTCATACCTTTCCTTTTAGTGATTAGCACTCCACTACCGCGTGATGCTATTCTATCTTTCCTAAATATGGTGAAGTTTTTAGACATAGACAGCTGACTATCTGACAGACCATCAGACAGCCATGGTTCTGTTCCCAGGACGATATCAGCAGAACACGGCTCGAGGAAAGAACAAAAATTGTCTTGTTTATGGAATAGGCTCCCGAAGTTGGACTAAGATTGATAATGGTCCACCTCGGCTTTGTTGTTGGGGTTATAAGACCTTGGTAGAGCATCGAACCTGATTGCTCGATGAATCAACACAGTACATGGTCTTGTTTAGAGCAAGCTTATCAAATAGTAGTTTATACCTGTTTTGTTGTTTCTTGTTGTCTTGTGCGAAATCTCTGAGTTTCTTTCTGATTTGCTGCACCCTAGGCCAAAAATCTTTCTCTATCCATACACGCTGATGTAGGTGTTTAAGCTTGAAAGCGTTAGTGAGAATGTTGGTTTTATCTTTGTTGTTCAAGAACTTTACAATGATAAAACGAATGCAATCCCCTTTACGTTTGCCTAACCTATAGGCACCCTCAATTTCACCTGCTGGTGAGCCCAAATTCTTGATTACAAATTCCTTGATGAGCGGTTCAGTGTCTTTCTAGGTTTCCGAAGAAGTCTCAGAAATACCTTTGAAAATCGAATTATTACGGTGAATACGATTGTTAAGACCATCAACAGATGTGTTACACTGCTGCGTTTGTTTGGATTCAATACCGTGTAGCTTATCTTGAGATTTCTTAAGTAGTAGTCCCATATCATCCATTGATTGACGAAGGTTAACCACAATATCTTTTCTTTCTTCAAGGATGGAGAGACGTCGCTTTATTTCAGTGACACTCAACTGAATGTCCTTTACTTTCCTTGTCACATCTTTCTGAAATTTTTCATTCGAGGCTACCAATTCCTTATCTGCTGTGAGGAGTCGGTACACCTTATCTGGGCTTGGGTTTGTTTCAATGTCCGCAGAAAAAAGTAGCTAGTGCACAAGGCAAAATAATATTGGCGTTAATCGGCCTGTCATGCAGAGCCGACTAACGCCAATCTCACTCGAAGATATGCTCACACGAAGCCATACGAAACAAGGCGTCCCGTCCCGGCTTCTTTGACACAGGTAGAAAAACAGTCTATTCGAGCACAGTATGTGCAAAGGTCAACTCATGTCACTTATTGAAAGAGTGCCACAATTTTCAAGCAGTTGAGATTTGCAGCTAACTAGTCTACAAAATTGATGCACAATAGAATGGTACACTCACATAGAAAGCACGACAAAGTGACTTGATTAGGCCAAGCATTCAGCTGCAAATTACGTTGTTTTCTTCTTCAATGCCCTTCTTATGGTGTTGATGACGGCACTGCGGTCCGTAACAGGCTCCCTTGCAATGTGGGCAGAGTAGTTTGTCTCGCTGGTGGCAAGCGATAGCAGCTGGAATCGGCGATGTGTCAGCCGGTTTTCAGCATACAGCCAAGGGCAGGCGCAGTGCAACTGGTCAGTCAACTAAAAAGCACGACAAAGTGACTTGATTAGGCACAAGCATTCAGCTGCTAATCCCGTTGTTTTCTTCTTCAATGCCCTTTTAATGGTGTTGATGATGGCACTGCGGTCCGTAACAGGCTCCCTTGCGACGTGGGTGAGGTAACAGAGTAGCTTGTCTCGCTGGTGGCAAGTGATAGCAGCTGCAATTGGCGATGTGTCAGCCGGTTTTCAGCATACGGCCAAGGGCAGGCGCAGCGCAACTGGTCAGTCAACTAAAAAGCGTGACAAAGTGACTTGATTAGGCCAAGCATTCAGCTGCAAATCCCTCTTGCTAGCGGGATGACCTGTGGGATCCTTCAAAGAGGCGAGCCAACAAAGGGCATGATGGTCGGTAAGACTGTAAAAGGTCCGCTTTATAAATTTGGGCGAAACTTTGCAAGTACCCGCACCAGAACGAGGCATTCGAACTCGGTACTTGAGTAATTTTGCTTTGAGGAGGACAGCAGCCTGCTGGCACAAGCTATCACACGATTCTGTCTACATTGTCACTGGGCCAACACAGCATCAATTCCATAGCCACTTGGGTCAGTGCAGACTTCCATCGGTGCTGAAGGGTCGAAATGAGCTGGATTTGGGGAAGATGTGAGCAGAATGATGAGCTTGGAAAAAGCTGCTGCTTGGGAGGAACCCTAGTTAAAGAACGTGTCTTGTTTGAACAGGTCTGTGAGAGGTCAAACAATTTATGCGAAGTCTTTAACAAACCGCCGAAAGTAGGAGCAGAGTCCCACAAAGCTGTGGACGTCCTTGGTGGTTGTCGGTGCAGGGAAGAAGTTTATGTAGCGCGAGGCGAAAAAACGATTTTTCAATTATTTTTTCGCCTCGCGCTACATAAATTTCTTTCAAATGTTTCACCAAGAAGCCCACATCGCCACTCTGGTGCAGGAAAGTTGTCCATGACTCGAATCTTTTCTGAATCAGGCTGTACACTGCGAGTATCAACAATATGCCCAAGGATCTTAATGTGGTAGCGATGGAACTCCCATAGAACGAAGTCAGCTGAAATTTGTCAAGACGGAACACTTCAAGAGTAGGAGTCTCTCACGGTGAGTTTCGAATGTAGGCCGAAACACATTGACATTGTCTAAATGACATAGACACGTGGACCTTTTGAATTCGAGAAGCGAAGAGTCCATAATTTATTCGACTATGGTTGGAGCATTACATAGGTTGGAAGGCATACCTTGAGCTGGTAGAGGCCATCAGGTGTTAAAAAGGACATCTCTCAGTCCGTGGATTCCGCAGCAATCTTCCGATATTCAAAATGAAGGTTGACGAAAGAGAAGTACGTGGCACCATGCAGGCAATCAAGGGCATCGTCAATTCACGGTAGAGGGTAGGGATCTTTCCTTGTGGAGTTGAGCTGGGACTAGTCCACACAAAAGTGCCACGATCCATATTTTTTAACTAACACTACAGAAGACTTTCACAGACTGGAGGATAGCTCTGTAATGTCCTCCCCGAGCATGTTTACTTCATGCTGGATGACGTCCCGCTCTGACACAGGCAGCCTGTAGGGGCGGCGATGAACAGGGTTAGCATCGTCAGTGTTTATGCGATGCTGGACACTGTACTATAGGTCGCCCTAAAGGACGTCTGCCCTGTAGGTGGTGTGTGCTGCGTAAGAACAGCAGCATTCAAAGCGAAAGCCTTGATCTGTGAATCCAGCAGCGGACAAAGTTGGGCCACGTAAATGCCTTGTGAAGCCTAAAGTTACAATGAGTAACCAGTTTCTATTAGCTATGATGCTGAGAAACATATAGGGAACAGCAGCAAATGCGTGAGTAGCAAGTCAGGAAGGGGCGCAACATATAACATATCTATGTACATAACAGTATTCGGGGCTAGATGAACAAGTCGCTGCAATTCAAACGGCACGAAGGTTGGCATGGGGGATCACTGTGTTGTGGCAGTTCAAGGCGTACCGGCGGAGCGGAATTGGTGGCCAGAAAATTCAGTCCAGGTATGAGATCGGGGCAAGAACAATAAACAGGACAACCACCTGATGGCCTGCAGCAGTAAGTTGCGCAGTACACACTCCTATGACAGGAACTGTGCCTTCATCAGCGACTTGTACTCCACTGGTCAAGGGTGGCTTGAAAATCTTCTTCATGAGACGGCGAAAATCCGCCCTCATAACAAATATGAGCACTTGTGTCAACCAAAGAATGGACAGGAGTGCCATAAACATAAACTTCAAGGGTGTTCCAGTGTAGAAGCAAGGACAAGAGAGGATTTTTGGGTAAGATTGACCATGCAGTTTCACCTCCAGAAGCTGCACAGCCTAGTTTGCCGTAGACATGCAGTGGTTAAATGGTCACGAAGGCAAGCGATGACGTATGGAAGAAGGAGGCGGACAGTTTGGAGCCAGCAATGATGGGAACGTGCGGCCATAGTCCTCAGGAGTTGTGAATGCAGAAAACTCAGTGAGGGTCAAATAACGGTGATTCATTGTGCAGAAGGGACTATTGTAAGCGTAATACAGGCTAAAAGGCACAAAGAAACACTATATCAAGGTATTGACACCATCAAGAGTGTTGTTATGGTGAACCCTTTACTTCCCTCACATCACCATGCTGCAGTCAGCAATCATTTTTTTTGTTGTATTTGTTCCAGCAGTCTGTAGCTGCTGGTGGGTCCATGGCCGCGGCGCATGGGTTGAACGTTTTCTGTTCAGCATTACTGTTCTGTTGTCCCGTTTTCTGTTCGAACAGACTTGTTGATGTGAACCATGTGGAAGTGCATCAGAGTTCTGTGTGGTCGAGTGCTGCCCATGCTAGATGGTGGTAGTTGCACCCAGCAGCTTACCGTTCTTGCAGCTCTCAAACCAAAACTGAAACTGGTCAGTAATTAGGAGCCTGTAATTATCTGTCACACACTGCAGCAAACCAAGTGCCATGTTATGACTAACGTGCCCCCAATAACACATTGCATAAAAAAAACTTGAGGCCAACATTTTTGTGTTAGTATTCTTTAAATCACTGGCTCCAGCCATTGTTGTCTCTTGAACATTCAATTTCTGTGCACATTTCTAGTATTCATGCTTTCAAAACAGGAATGAAAATGCAAAAAAGTTGTTTGAAACACAGTGTTCATGTGCATGTTTTCAACACTTGTTCATTGCAGTTTTACAGCATACCATGTTCCGATATTGAGCAGACAGAAATGGAGGTCATTCTCGGACTGGAAAGGCAAGTGCTACACTGTTTTGTACATCACTGATGTTTGCAAACTAGGATTCTGAAACATGAAAAATGACTGCATGAGAGATTGCTCAACTGTCCTTTAAGTGATGCCTTAAAGAGCACTGAAGCACATATAACGATAGAAAGTAGGCGTGTGCAACAGCCAGAGGTAGGGCTCATAGAGATTCAGCCCCCTAGCCTCCTTTTCTGGATCATGTATTTCTAATCAAAACCTACGGCAGAAATCATCTTGGATCTTCTTTTTCACAATGAAAATATACTTCTGAGTGAGCATTGTTGGCTTGGATCCTCACCACACAATATGTATTATTGGCCCACATGCACTAGCATCTGGTGGAGGTACTAACGCATGTGGGTAATACAGCGCTTATCACTTACAGGCAGTGGCTTATGAACTCCTTGGCGAGTAGGGGGCAAGCTTACCTAATTCACTCATGGGATATATATATATATATATATATATATATATATATATATATATATATATATATGTTTATTTCTTCCAAACTTTCCGCAGGAGAGCCTTCCTTCATCAGGGAATACAGGGTACACGCAAAAATGCACTTCTCGAATAGATGAGTATGGTGGGGGCATCCAACACATGCTTAACTACTATTGTCATAGATATGGCATATATCGTGTAACTATCAATAAACATAGGCACTTGTGCGGTGCGATATGGTTATGACTGTATGAAAAAATTGCAAGCAAAACATAGTTTTCTACTACAAAGTATGGGGTATGCACAGAAACATGCAAACGGACAGTGCTGAGATATATACTAACGTTGTCACGTCTATATAAGATGTTGGGAGATGTACATGGAGGATTCTTGGGTTGCGCGATCGTCTCCAAGCATGTGCCTCTTACATCACATCACTTTGTGTATATGGCGGCGATTTTTTAAGCATAACCTCACAACTCTCTGCATAAATACAATTAGTTCATCCTTTCCAAGAAAGAGAGAGGAATGAGCAGCGCTGCACGTGTGCAGTTCTTTACAAAAAACCATGGACTTTGACTATTTTCCTGGTTTGTGGGATCAAGTTTTAGGGAAAGAATATAAGCTGAGCTTCCCACTGCTCGATTCTACTGTTTTATTCGTCACGACTTTGAAAGCTTCTGCCACCGTTACAAGATACCATAAGCAAAACTGATCACTGATTTGGTTGATCAGAGACTGAAGTGCAAAGCTTTTTTTTTTTCCTCTTTCAGTACGGCTAAACCAAACATTGAAAAGAATTCATCATACTCATTAGCTCACAGCAGCTTCGACAGAGTAGCAGTGATGCTATTCCTTTTCTGCGGAAAAAAATTATTTTCGTGAAGCAGCAAGTGCTTTCATTAGTCCATAAAAACTTTGCTCATTCCCATCTCTAGCTGCATCGGCCAGCCAGGCACATCAGAATGAAAGCTTGAGCCAGTGATGTTATCTTATAGGGCCCTGTTGAGGGCTAACCTGCTCTGCAGTGCTACAGCACAAGGCGCGAAAGCGTTGTACAGCGGCCCGCACTGCAAAGTGTCTACTAGAAAAGTCTTCACAGCAGAATTGTTGGAAATATTTTATTATACGTAACATTTTCTCGTGATATATTGGCCCCTCGTAACATTATAACTGAGTGATTTCTGTGGTCAAGGAAAACGTTGGCTTAGTTGTTTGTTTCCCCATCGTGCAGCCAACATTGACCACTGTCAAAAGTGGGGGGGGGCTCAGCCTGCCTACCTCTTCTTGGTGGGGGGGCTAGCGTCCCTCTTGCCCCCTCAGCTGATACGCCTATGCTTACAGAACACGGCTAGCACCTGGTGCTAGCCTTGTTCCAGATGCCCATCAGCTAAAGACATCCTGGAGCTAACCAGAGTACAAGCCTCTTCCCAACAATGTAAAAAACCAAGACTTCTACCTCGACAGCAACCGTGACTGTCCCACTAGCTCCTACAACAATCCAGCTAAAGTTCCGGCTAAATTAACATTCTGCAGGTCATCACATGAAAACCCAAAATGCTGGTCTGAAGGTACGACCGTATCACTCTTTTCAACATTTGTCGAACAATCAAGACAAGCCACAACACATTTATTTTGGCTCAGAAGACGCCGCTTGGACATGGTTCAAGAACTGAGAAGCCACGCTTATGAGCCTTCTTCATTCTTGTACACCATCATGAGCATATTGCACTAATGAATGTGAGCTATTCGGCACATTTATGAACTTCAAGAACAGTAAAGCTCTCGACATAGATGACATACAGATAAAGCCTATAAATTACAGTCAACTCTTGTTAATTCAAACTCGAAGGAAGCTCTGAATTTCGTTTGAATTATCAAGAAGTTTGAATTATCAGAAGTTCTCATATAGATGACTCTAGGTAAGGTGACAGCACACATTATGATTAGGCATTGATTTTTCACATCTAAAAATTTTTCAAGTGTTTTTAAGCCCTAACTGCACGCAGTGAACAGAAAGCAGAGGTGTAAAGTCCACAAGTTTATTGACCATTTACTGCTGATCAGACCTTTTGAAGAAATCGTGAATTGCCAACTGCTTCATTGCTATAAGGTATGTATCTTCAGCATAAAGCTCCCTATACCAGTTGAGAAGCATCACGGTTTTTCATGCATGTGCTTCGTTTCAAACATTTGTTTACTTGCAAAGTTTTTACTGCGAAAGCTGTTATGAGATCACAACTCAAGTCACGCGCCGCCACGGGTGTCCGTAACCTCATCGCGCGAAATTAGAAAAAAAAAAAACCTAGCACCAATGACACAGTGGGGCTCGAACCTGGGTGTGCTGAGTGCCAGCCCAGTATTCTACCACTGAGCCAAGCTGGTGGTTGGAACTTGTTGGAAAACTTGCCTTAAGCAAGCTTGATCACAGGAAAGCTATCGCGTTAATACGACTTGTAAAGAGTTTTAAAACAGCGAAAGTTGTCGCACAATGCGAATCAACGTTACTAGATTTTTCTCCAGTTTGCAAACTCCGCTGGGACGAGGTGGCAAAACGTCGCTCCTTTCGTTTCCCCCTGCCTAGGTGGCACTTCTTATACCATTTGACCGGACCGCGACGTAATGGATCCTATGCACAGTCTTAAACGGAGTTCTTGCGGTCAATGTGACGTTGCGGGAGTTATTTTCTGTGATAGTGCACTAAGGTTATTACAAGTGGGCAATTAAAGTACCAGTTCCGCGGCTAATGCGGTGCCACATGGTGGAGATGCGAGTGCGACGCCTTAATCTTGCGGGCAACGTGTTAATTTAGCCGTATTGCGTTCTTTTTCTTTGAAATTCAACCGTATATACTAAAAAACCGTTGCAGTGGGCTTAAGGGTAAATGCTGGAGGACTATGCACTTAAATTTAGGTGCATGTTAGAGAAAGCACAGGTGGCCAAATTTTTTAGAGCTCTTCAACACGACATGCCTGGTAATCACATAACCTTAGTTATTGTTATATGATGAGGCACACACCACATTCATCTGATGCTGCCGCAGATATTGGAAGTGTAAAGCCTAGAACAACTTGTTCGTTCTAGCTAACTCAAATTCACGATGCGAACTTTTCTTCAGGTAGTTTCATGTCAGGTAACTCATAGATGTACCAGCGCTTTCCAAGACGGCGAAGTCTGCTACGAACACTTAGGACCGCGTTTGTGCTGGCAGTGCTGTGAGAATTTCTGAGTTTTGTCTTAACGATGCTTAGTTGTGTTTCGTTCCCGTGTGGAATGAACAGACTGGACAGCTGGGTTGTCGAGAAACAAGTGAAGGCCATCGTTTATTCTGCGCTGGTAGTTTTAGTCGAAGGTGGAAAGGGTTAGAAAAGGTGAGGGCACTTGTTTTTTAAGCTCGGGTAGAAACTGCTCAAAGGGCTCCGCCTCACCTTGACTGCGGGAACGGAACACGTATCGCTCGTGTATTTCATTTTGTTGCTCCAGGCAGTAATCTTTGAATTTGGCAATTACGGTGCTGAAATTCTCCTTGTTTTCTTCTCCGCTGAACACAAAATTGTTGAAAACGTCCAAGGCTTCCTCTCCTGCAACGCTGAGGAGCAGGGCCGTTTTCGCTGCTTCCTACCTCGGATTAGCTTGGCATGCCGTCGCTTGCAGAAAAAATTCGAACTGCTGACAAAACCGTGTCCAGTTCCTTCATTCATCAGCTGTCAAACGTAGCGGTTCAGGCAGCCTCAGGTGATCCATGTTGTTGCTTATACGTTGCCCACTTCTGACACCATGTTTCATTCGCGTGTGGAATGAACAGACAGAGAAACAAATGAACGCCATCGTTTGTTCTGTGTTGGTAGTTATAGCCGAAGGTGGAAAGGGTTAGAAAAGGTGAGGGCCAGGAGTACACACGAGGCAATCATGCATGTAGATAGCACATGTGCTTTCATCAGATATGATACAAGTTGGTTGAAAACTCTTTCCACTTCTGCGTCCGAGTGCGGCAGGGAGAGCACATCAACTGCGAGCTGCGCGAGCTCGTGAAACGGGTTCGAACCAGCTGCATCATGGTACGCAATGGCCTCGGACCAAAATGCGATGGTGTCGGTGGTGTTGGCCCAGCTCACCAGGGTCAGCTTCTTCCACTGGGTGTTCACGAGATCCATCTTATTTGGTTGAACACCAAAATGTTCCGTCAAGTCCGTGATAGGCTCCTTGAGCACTCGCAAGCATGCTCCCAGACAGCCGTGCCATGCCCTGCAATATTTTGAAGTTGGATGGCAGACGTTGCTGGAGCTCATTTGATAGCTTGGCTGTGAAAGTAACGCATCGCTGGCACACAAAGTCGATTTCAGGACCAGCTGGTAGTGTGCTCGCAAGTTTCTCGAACTTGTATCCCAAGTATGGCTTGGGGTCCAGGTGACCATATATAGGCTGGCGCAGCGGATCTCTCTTCGCCATTGGAATGAGCACTTTACTGCAAACCGTCTTAATTAGGAGCGTGAGGTCTTCAAGAAGCTTTGCAGGATCCGCATCGTTCCTCTCGTAGGCCTTG